GACTAGGGGACACAAATATAAATTTTGGCAGGATAAGAGTCATCTTTACCTTAGACAGTTTTATTTTTCTAAAAGGGTGGTTGTCTTTTGAAATGGGTTGCCTTATGAGAAAGCTTGATAACTATATGAATGATAAGGGCTGACTTTAAGATTTTTTAAAAGATATCTATTTGATAGTTTCAGTTTAGACTTTAGAGGATGGGACAGCCGAGGTGGACCAGTAAGTCCCACGTTGTCCCAAAGCATTATATCATATTAAATCTTTGCCGACTATATATAAGCAGTGTTTCTTTCTCCAAGATTTGATAGCAAATAGAGCTTATGTGAGAGAGAACTCTATTTTATATACAGTGCCTTGCAAAAGTTTTCACCCCCCCCCCCCAGTGCTAGTAATCAATTTTTGTTATTTTCTTGTGAAAGACATAATTGAAATGGCTGAAAATATTTATTATATTAATCTCAGGCCAGATTCTAATGATAACATAGAACAAAATGTACATTGTTACTTACTTTAGTGATATAACACAAAATGTCTTGAAAACACATATTGCAAAAGTCTCCACCCCTAACATGATTATGCAGTTAATATTTGGTTGAAGCTCCTTTGGCAGAAATGACAGCTGAAATTCGTTTCGAATAACCCTGCACAAGCTTTGTTACAGTATACTGGAGATATTTTTGTCCACTCCTGCTTGCAGATATCCTCAAGTTCTTGTAAGTTGGAAATATGTCTTCGATGCACAGCAACTTTCAAGTCTCTCCACAGATTTTCGAGTGGATTTAGGTCTGGGATTTGGCTTGGCAAGGACTTTAATTTTGTTTCTCGGAAATCATCTTGGTTGCCTTTGATCTGTGTTTGGGATCATTGTCCTGTTAAAATGTAAACCTTCGACCGAGTTTTAGTTTTTCAGCTAACTTCTTCAGGTTTACCTCCAACATCTGTGTATATTTTGTACTGTCCATGATCCCTTGAATGCGTACAAGTTCTCCAGTGCCAGCTACAGAAAAACATCCCCACAGCATTATGGACCCACCACCATGCTTGACACTTGGGACTGTATTTTCCGGGTCATGAGCAGTGTTGAGTTTCTGCCATACATACCGCTCTATTTTGGTCTCATCTGACCATAGAATTTTCTGCCACATTATTTTAGGGTTATTGAAATGTTTACGGGGCATAGTTCATTCGCGATATAAGACGCATCTTTGTTAGTAGTGTTTTCTTTCTTACCACCTTACTATACAAGCTTTTTTTTGTAAGGCACGTGATACTGTCGAGGTGTGTACAGTAACTCGAGTTACTGCGATTTAAGACTGCATCTCCTTCAGTGTCACTGTTGACTTGACAGCCGCTTCTCTGACGATTTTTCTCCTTGTTCGAGCGCAGATTTTCTTAGGGCGACCTGATCTTGGCAAATTGGGGCAGTGTGACACACTTTCCATTTCTTCACAACTGATTTTACAGTACTTAATGCCAAATTGAGAACATTTGAAGTTGATTTATAGTCTTCTCCGGAATTGTGCTTCTGAACAATCTTCTCCCTTAGATTTGAAGAGAGTTCTTTTCTCATCATTCTCAATATGTAACAGTAAACCAAATTTTAATTCTCAAAATACTCTGCTTAAATCAATACTGGTGGCTTTATAATATACTGTGGTATCTGATAGAGTTGTACAAAGACACTTGTATATACTTTAGCAGGGTAGTGACGTAAAGTTAAATCAACGATGGTAAATACTGAGAAGGGTGAAGACATTGGCAACATGTGTTTTCAAGATTTTTTTGTGTTATATCATTAAATTGGGTAACAATGCACCTTTCGTTCTTTGTAATCTTTAGAAACTGGTCTGAGCTTAATATAATAAATATTTTGAGCCATTTGAGTTATGTCTTTCACAAGAAAATACCTAAAATTTATTACCAGCACGGGGGGTGAGGATTTTTGCAAGGCACTGTAGGCAAAAAAATCTATACAGCTAAATTTAAAAACAGTTTCGCTTATTATTTACCAAACTGAATGATAAATATTATATACTGTGAGTCACTAGAAGTGTAAAACTTGTGTAATAAAAACCTCATTACTTGTTTTATTCAGCATTTTACTGAAAGGTTTCGATAATTATTCTTCCGATACAGGGTCAGATTTAGACCTTTTGAGACCCCCATGCAATACTACGATGTTGGAGGCACCTTTCCTAAAGTAATTCAAACTTGAAGCCCCTTGATGGTCGTGGCCACCATGCAGTTGTATGGGTTACACCCTCTAAGAATTCGGCACTGTTCCAATGTAACTACATTGCCGTTAATGAAATAATTCATCGAATACTAGCTAATCACTCTATCATATTATAATCAAAATAATGATTGAAATATGCATACATTTATAGTTGTTTCATTTTTATCGGTAAGTAAAAATTAAAACATTTCTATATTTTCAGTTTTTGGGGAAAATGGCACTAGCCTTTGTTCATCAGATAATGCAAACGGCGAAACTAACCAATGGCGTCATATAGGGAGCAACTTGAAAAATCTTGTTTGTGTGGTCTGCCTGTGTGAAAAGGTGAGGTATAGGAATGTGTTGGTCAGCGTAGCAAAGGTGAGTGATCCTCTTCCAAGCCGATTAAAATCACATGCGGCAACCATGAAAATTAAGACGGTTGAGATCTAGAGTATTAACACAATTTTCGATCAAAGTGCTGATAAATTAAAAGTGTCTTAACAAAGATTATATTACATTCGTCACATCTCTTGCTGCGTCTAACGCTCAAAATTTACTTAATTATTTGTCTCGTGACTTTACTTGACTTTGGAAGAAGCCATTAGTAATTCATTGGCGATTTAAACAAAGTTCACTTTAAGTAAAAATAGTGAATGAAATAGGATCTGAAAACGAACAAAGTAAGGCAAAAAAATATCTATTAGCATTTCTTATACGTCATACGCATGAATATTACGGTTAAAAGGATAGGAATTAGGTTGGAATTGGCTTATAAAGTATGTCGACATCCGTACTGTTTCATTCCATCTTCTGTACAATATTATCAAACAATTAATGGATATTCAGCCTAAATTATCTATCAAAGTATTATCAAAGAGGTCTGCTACGTCGTTCACATATTATCATTACCTCCGCCACCGAAGATGACGGAGGTTATCTTTTCACCCCTGTGTGTGTTTGTCAGCAAGATTTCTCGTAAACGGCTGAATGGATTTAGACGAAAGTTGGTATACATTTGAACTATGACCCAACTTACAAGTATTTGGTTTTTGGAGAATCAAAGTCACAGTAAGGTCACGAGAATCCCAAAACACCCTATCTCTTAACATGGGGACCAATTTTTAACACTATTTTTGCTTTATAATTCAGTCAAAAATGATCGGATTTTAATGAAACTGGGTGGACATATTTAGAATATTATTCCTCATTCTCCTGCCAAAAGTGGTTCGTGTCCGTTGATAACGATGGACATACGGGCACATTTTCTTATTTTTTGAGAACCGAATATGATCAACGCTGCGTGGCGGAGGTATGCGCTTTACTGAGTTTGTTTTGTTTTGAATTTTGCGCAAAGCTACACGAGTGCTATCTGCGCTAGCCGTCCCTAATTTAGCAGTGTAAGATTAAGGGGAAGGCAGCTAGTCATCACCACCCACCGCCAACTCTTGGGCTACTCTTTTACCAACGAATAGTGGGATTGACCGTCACATTATAACGCCCCTACGGGTGAAAGGGCGAGCATGTTTGGTGAGACGGGGATTCGAACTATTCCAGTCGAGCTCCATAACCATTTGGCCATGCCGGGCCTCTTATTTTCCTTCTCAACCGTTATGTAAAAACCACAACCATCGTTTGCACCTTTCCAATACACAATATTTGAATTTTTAAATGTACAATATTTTAATGCAATAATTATACAGATATTTTTATTTATCCATACTGTTTGGTTGCTTAGTCTCTCAAGCTGCAAAATCTTTAATAAAGGCACAATATCGGTAAAAGAAAATTTTGGGTTTTTATTTTTTACTGAAGCTAAAATTCGTTTATTTATAAGACATATAACTTATTATATCATACACTACGTACTCTGGAAAAAAGTAAAACTAACAGTTTTCACAGATTTTTCGCCTTAAATACTCTCCACCCCCACAGGATGGCCAGGTCAACTGCTCCAGTAGGGAATGCAGCACAGACTTCTGCCGTTCTGGAGAACATTACGATGACGAGTGCTGTAGGTTGTGTACTGGTAAGTGAAAAACAAAGAGAGTTTACAATGATTACTTGCTTTCTCGAGTAGCATAGTGATTATTATTTTATTTCCTGGAGCTTCATTGGACAGACGTACTGGGATTTATGTTGTTCTCATATAATCGCATGAGGTGATTCGAGAAAAAAACTTACATTAGTGCGTGTCGAACAACTGAAACAAATTATACATTAATGATGATTAGGATAGGATTGATTTATCAGGAAAGCTAATCATATGCAGTTTAGAAGCTTAATTAGAAACATCTTTATGAAATGCAGTATTAAAAATGTTTTAGGGCGTCGTCTTTGTATCTGAATTAACCTCTCATCATTAAGCTCTTTAATGTCATCTCAATAGTTTAATTTCTTACAAAATGTCGTATAATAATATTAGAATAAATTCACTCAGACTGGGAGAATCGATTTACTTCTGTCGCTGTGGCGCCGACGGTCTCGGAACTGTGGCGTCTGATGTGGCTGACCCAGTAAAATTCTTTTTCTATAGACATCTATAAAAACATAGCTTCGTGGCTTATGTAGGAGATTTATTGGCTGTGTAATATGGTCGTCTGGAGCAGTTCTCAACTCTTTTATTTTATTTTATCGTGGAAGATATATACGTACAGTCAACGTCTGTGATGAGCAAGAAAACCTGTAAATATCTTTTTTCATAAAAGATATGGCTAAATCTAAACACATGTACACTTAATTAGCATACCAATGTATGTAATAGAATAATTAATTTTTTTTATTATTTTAGGTATGAAACAATGCACTTCTAGTATGTCTAAGTATAATATTAACAAAATAGTCATAGAATAAACACATTGAGATTCTGATATAAACATATTGGAATCACCATTCATATTATTCACAGGATATTATAATATGACAATATTTTACTTAAATTCTTGAAAATATACTACCTTGAACTGCACGAGAGAGTGCACAGACTATCATATTGTTTAGGAATTTATTTTGTTTCCGTTTACTTTCTTCTTCATGTGCGGGCGCATGTACAGGTTTTAACAACAGAGAACTGATTATAGCCTGCAGCAAACGTGCTAGTGCTCCAGTTACTCATTGTCATAGGTCAAATTCTCTTTCGGAGCACTTAAATTTTATCACGGAAGAGGGTGCTATAGAGCTAAATGATTTAGTACACTGTGCAGTTTTATATCGGCGACAAATGTGTAGCGGGTTTAGTGATACCTAGAGGTATTGTCCTTGCTATTTTGACTTATAGAATGACCTGTGACTGGGTAGCGTACGCATTCGGGGAGAGATGACGCTGTTATGTTTTGTATATCATTTTTATACTTTGTCCCATGCAGATTAATTCAGAGTTTGATCAGATCTACTTCTAACACTGAGAGCTCTCCCCATTTAGAGAACAGTGCTGTAGATTTTCTAGATACACACAGTTCTTTGAGTTGTGTTGATTATAAAGATAACTTTGCTCTTCGTTTTAAACTGTATGTTGTCTCTGTGGGCTCAGTCAGTCAGAAATTCAGTTTAACCCTGTTATACATTTTTTGTCGTTCCACCTCGCACCTGCTATTCTTACCTGTACCTTACAGTGCCCTTGAAAGATTTCAAGAAGACGATAATGGGAAACAATAGTAGATTATTAAAGTAAAAAAGAAAGAGGGGTAGAAATACAAATGTTAGAAACTTCTTCAAAATAAAGATAAAAGTGGATTTGTTTGAAGTTAAGCACAAAGCCACACAATTGGCTATCTGTGCTCTACCCACCACGGGTATCGAAACCCGGTTTCTAACGTTGTAAGTCCGCGGAATAACTGCTGTGGCAGTGGGGGCGATAAACGGAGATTCAATCCAGTTCTTTATTCAGTGAGTTCCATTTTCAAGATCGAACTGACTACTATTAACGGTTTCCGTGCTTCAGATCGTTAAGTTTCTTTTTACATAGAACTTAACATTTTGTTTGATTAACGTCACAGAGAAAAAAATCTTGTGTTCAGATATAAAAGATAGTGACAGTAGTTTCTAATGATGTGAACGGTGCTGTAGTAATGCTTTATCTCACGCCATAAGTTCATTTAGCTCAATAGAATGAAATAAATAATAAGATATTACACAAAAACTGTTTCTATCAACACATACCAGCAGCCTGAAATGCTTTTGTAGATAGACGTACGTGTACGTGGTTAATTTTTTATTACCTTTGTGATTATCTTTACCTTTTTCGCACATAAATTTCTTCATCACAACATTTTAAACTGTTATAGTTTCTGCTATGTTTTGTAAGATATATTACAAAACCATGCACTTCAGTAAAGTAATTATTTTGATAAACGTACCAATATGAATATTACCATCATTAAATAACCCTGTTTCGCTAAGAGGTTCACGGGTTCCCTTAAACATTAATGTTCCATTTAAGTTACTATATTACCCCCGCCCCCCAGTGGCACAGCGGTGTGTCTGCGGATTTACAACGCTAGAATCCGGGTTCCGATACCTGTGGTGGGCAGAGCACAGATAGCCCATTGTGTAGCTTTGTGTTAATTACAAACAAACAAACTATTATCCCCCAATATACTGAGCACGTAGCGCCAAGTTCGTCCTCCTATTTGTGAGAGGGGGTGTGAACACAGTTTAAAAAATGGCTCACCAAAATTTCGAGGGGACCAGGAACACAAAACCCGATGCCAGATTCGAGTTCAAACCTACTTCTAGACTGATCATGCGTGGCACGTTTTAGCCCCACTTGTACCCCTAAAAGTATAAATATGTAAATACACTATATAAATAAGGACCCCCCCCCCAGCCACTTGCCAAATTTATTCCTTCTAACTCCAAAACTTTGACAGGAGGTCACGGACGAGCAAATCCAAAATCACAGCGTCAATTGATATAGGATGCGACATAAAATGAGAAAAAAGAAAACTAAACAATTTAAAAGCACACATACCTATTTTCCTTTTTGTGGTATTGTATTCTCTTGAAACGATCAAAATCTAAAGTCTATAAGTTATTTTCAGTGCTATCGGGGTATATTTTCAACTTCAGCAGTTGAGTATATTAAGTTAAAACTATTTTAGAGCATCACCACTTCATTACAATCCCTATCGCTACATACGGTCATAATCTATCTGACGACCGTGCGTCTTGACAATAGCCCTGCAGCATAGTTTCTATTAAAAAAGGCTCCATCATAAGGCTGTCATGTCCAAATCACACCTCTCATCCCAATTAATTCTATAATCTGTCTAGTGTACTGGGACGGCGGTTTCCAGCACCCATTTTGACAGTCCGATCACACAAAAATCTATAGGCGTTGTGTCAGGCGACTTGACCGGTATATCTTCATATGGAATAACACGAATACTGTTTCCTTCTTCGGCTGCTTAAGGTGTGAAACGTTTGAACGAATATGTGGTGGAAGCAACATCTATACTTGTGAATTGTGAATCTACTTCCGTTGAGCTGAATGGTGAAAAAAGAACATTATTCAATTATATGAAAAAGAAGATTAGTAACAAACTTGGTGCAAAGACGTAAAGCTTTACTCTTCAATACTTACAACGCTTTTATTCTGTACAGAATAAAAATATTACTTTTTATAAGACGTTAATCATTCTTTAGTGGTCAGTATAGTCCTTGTTTCTGATAAGGCACTAATAACTCCCAGTACTCGCTGCTCTTTCATTCTAAAGCAAATATAATTCTAATTTGTAATGAGAATTAATCAGACTTTAGTATCTAAAGCTCTTTCAATTTGTATTGAATATAGTTGTAATATTTTTTAAACAATAAAAATTCATTAATAATTCTTATTTTTGTGACACACTGACTCTCCTCAAATATCTATCCTTCATTTTACTCTGGAGGCCCCCCAGTGGCACAGCGGTATTTCTGCGGACTTACAACGGTAGAATCAGGGTTTCGATGCCCGTGGTGGGCAGAGCACAGATAGCCCGTTGCGTAGATTTGTACTTAATTACAAACAACAACAACTTTACTCTGGAGTCAATAAAATATTTTTTTATGGGACCTTAATCATTCTTTAGTGTACATTGTTTTTTTATTATCCAATAAATATAGTTGGTTTTCCTTTTATTTTCTGATAATACGTTAATTATTAATCAGTATTCATTGCTTTTTAATGTACAGTGACTGAAAGTATTTCTGACGAGATATTAACCATTCTTCACTACTCATCCATCATTTATTCTGTAATTCATGTAGTTTATATTTGATGAAAAATCAGTCGTTCTTCAATATTCATTGCTATTTATTGTGTAATAAATATACTCGTTATTTTTTATGAGATGTTAATCATTTTTAGTACCACAATTATTTTTGTTTTCTCTAACAAATATATTTTTTATGCTTTTTTTAAAACAAGATTTTACCCCATTCATTGTTTTTTTTATATATTTTGGAATGAATATAGTTTCATTTTTCATGAGGGAATCATTATTAGATTGCTATTGCCATTTTATTCTGTTACAAATAGAGTTCTTGTTTTGCGTAATAGTTTAATCATTCTTTAATGTCTATTACTGTTCTCTTCTATGATGAATATAGCTTTTCTTAACATTTATTAAAAGTTGTCATTATTGATTGCCATTTGCTCTATTATTGTATAATTAATACATAAAGTTTTTTCTTTAAGAAGCATTAACAATTCTTCAGTACAATCTTCTCTATTATTCTGTAATAAATAGTTCTTTGTGTTTTGACAGAACATTAACAAATTTCAGTTTAAATTGTTCTTTGGTTCAGTAGATTAATATGGAATGTAATTATTCATACTTCCACAAAATTATTCTCTAGTTCATATTGATTCTTCATTTTATTCAGTAAATACTCCTTCTTAGTTTAATGACAAAGGAAATGAAATGTTTTTCAGTTTCCAAAGACCTTTAGTATTTCATTTACATTTCTTATTTACCTCTTCATAGTTATGCTATTTTAAATTATTTGCAAGCATTTGTAGTGGCACCCAATTATCGAATACTTACTGTAGGCCTACTTTTGTCTTTTATACTAGTGAGATAATCTGACAACTAATTACGTTATATTTTTCAAGATTTTATTATTGGAAAGTTTTAAGTAGTTTTATTAATATTGTGATATATTTTGTTATGACTTCTGCAGGTATATGTTAATTTCTATTATTTCTGTGCAAACCAACACGGTATTACTATTATTTTTCCAAAAATAGTCTACACATATTTTAGGAAAAAAGCTGAATTTCATCAAAGTAGTAAAAAACAACATAAAACCCTTTCGATGTAATATTTTCAAGTGACATTAATAAAATTTTGTACACTGAGTATATTATTTTTTTTAGATTCACGAGTGGTTTCAACTTCTAGACCAGCAGCCCAGCTACAGGTGGCGTGTTTTGATAAAGGACAAATATTTAAGGATGGCGAGACTTTCGCTTCTAATTCAACAAGTCTTCAGCCTAGAAAGCCTAATCAGTGTGTACAATGTGTTTGCCAGGTAATATTTCATATATAATCTTATCAGACTGTTTCTGGGTTAATAACAAGTATTCCACATTAATATCTTGGTAACAAAACCTCAGGCCGAACCCATCACAAATGTATTTGTCAGAACATTTAACATATTTTCATTGGTTATTAATTAAACATTTTGATCATGTATGAATTAATATATAAAAATAACATGCATCTTACAGTCAGTGAAAAGCTGTATTACAGGGTGCCTACAAGGCTGTCAAAACTCGGAGAATATAATGATATTTCAGACAAACAACAACAAAAAGTTGAGTTAAAAACAACATTGTCTGGTGTTTGGAGGGGTCAAGTCCAAGTTAAAGCAAAATAATATTGCGGGCTCTTTTAGTACTAGAAGTAAACAACCTTAAAACACCAACATTTGTTATTTTTATTTAATTGAATACTTAATGTTTCACTTTCAGCTTATTCCGGAACGTTCCACTAAAACACAAACCGTAACTGACAGTACAAAGCTTCAAAGAATGTGAGTAATATATTCTCATTGAATCTATAGCGTGCGTTTATAAAACGCGCGTTTGACATATTAAGTTGTAAAGTTTATTGTCGAAAGAATTATATTGTTGGAATAATTAAAAGCTACCTGTAGTAAACAAAAGTTCTATCTAAATTACACATTGAAATCAAAAAATAAAATGAAAAATAAAATAATTGTCATTATAGACACCATCCTTTGTCTCTATTCATCCGTGGTCGCCCGGCATGGCCAGGTGGTTAGGGCGCTCGACTCACAATCTGTGGGTCGCAGGTTCGAATTCATGTCACACTAAACATGCTCGCAAATGGATTGGTTTAAGTTCAAAGCGTCTAGTGCTGTTTTTGGAAGTTTTTCGACTACAATTGTGATTGATTCTTTTTAATTCTCCAACAATCACACCTTTCTTGGAAACTTTGGGATGATGGGAGCTGAACTTACGGAAAAGAGGTTTTCTAATTGATCTGTAAAACAAGATAGATTGTATATTATTGTCATTGTCGATCCTTAAGGTAACATCAAGAAAATCTATGCTCTTCTTGTCATTCGAATGATTCAGGGTGAATTGGATGTTGGAGTCTTTGGAACTTAGAAAGTCTAAAATTTTGATTAAAGAAAGAAGGCCATGGTTCCACAGTCCAAACACGTCATCAATGTATCTAAGCCAGAAATCAGGGCCGGTGTTGGTATTTTGACGCCACTTGTCAAATGCCGTCGTTTCAAATACGTGTATAAATATTACGACATGAATAACTGCGACTATATTATCCATTGGGACACCATTAGCTGGAGATATAGTCTGTTGTCAAAACGAAACTATCTATTGTGAAGAATGAGATGTAAGACTTCCCTGACAGCGTCTATTGACAATCTGTACATCTCCAAATTGTTTATGTGATTCCACATGAATTTACACTCTGCATTGACGCTATCTTCTGTCTGTATAGATGGATAGAGAGTAACGACATCCAATGTAAAGAGTACTGTTATGTTGGATACTATGTGAAGCACATCCTTGAGTCATGATAGCAGGTCTTGCATATTATTTAAGTGTGCTGAAATGTGATTTAGTAACGGCACTAATATTGTATGCATAAGCCAAAACAGACTTTCAGTGGCACTGCCATATGCTGACACTATGAATCTTAGTGGCATGTCCGGATTATGTTCTTTTGGTAAACCGTAAAATTCTCGAATGCAGCCATTAGAGGGTTTACGTTCATCTAGAAGCTTCTTAGGGAGGTTACATGTTTTTCTAAGTTTATAGATAATCTCTTTAGATTTAGTCACTTTTGTTTCTTTTTTTTTGTGGGGTCACTGTTAACCATTTGAAACTTATTCTGGTCATATATATGTGATCAGATATTTTTTGTTCATAAATATTTCTGCACATAACTACTAAACCTTTACATTTGGCCATTCCTCAATGTTTTTATTTTTATTTTAAAAGCTAATTGTTTTGGGGGATATAAGTTAGGCTTGGCGTGATAATTTCTGTCTTTTTTCCTCCCATCCGCCATTTTCGTTTCAAAAGAACACCTCCAACATGAAAAAACACAGATAAACATGGACGAAAAAGGACAATTTTCCAAAAGTAACACACACACACACACAAAAATAATTGTAATGGTACTTCTAATTGACTAAACCATCGTCAAGAAAATAAAAACTATAATCAGTATATCTGAACTGCCGATTAAAGTTATAGAAGGGCGAGGTACAACCTAAAAAGCAAACTTTCAAAATCTAAGTACACTACCCTAAATGTAATAAAGCTCAATGTCTTACAAAAACGTGTTTGAAATCTAAAGATGGCTGTCTTGTTTCCAATGTTGTTTACCAGCTTACATGTAATACCTGCAATCATACGTAAATTGGAAAAACCGGAAGAACCCTATACACAATGATAGAACATACTAACTCTCTTTATAAACAACAACATGAAAGAAGCGCTATTGCAGATCATGTTTTAACTTACCACAGACAAATAATACCTGACACGAAACCACCATTCGCCGTAGAAATCCCCTCTAAAGGCATCAAATACACTGACAGAAAATTTAAAGAAGCTTTTCTCACCGAACAGCTACGACCACAGACGAATAAGAAACAAAGAATGGCGTCTGTAATTATAATTCTTTTTTCATATTGTATTTTGTTATTTTAATGTGTAACTTCAACAAACCTTTTGTTTAGTGCAGGAAGCTTTTAATTCTTTCAACAATATACTTTACTACTAAATATGTCAAACGCACGATGTATAAATGCACGCTATAGATTCGATTAGAATTTATTATTCAAGCTTTGTGCTGTCAATTATGGTTTGTGTGTTAGTGGAACGCTGCTGAAGAAGCCGTAAACGAAACGTTGGGTATCCAATTAAAGAAAGTAATATATTTTAGTGTTTTAAGGTAGTTTATTTCTAGTATTAAAATGTTTTACACCAATGTGCACTACAAAAATTAAATTATAGTGCGGGGTAACAAAACAGAATATGTCGGCTGATGCAGAATTTCAGTGTTGAATTCGATACGATTAACATACATACACACAGTCAAAGTAAATTTGCAGGAATACGACATTTAAAAACTACATAATATAAACAGTTAACTTCCACAATGTGCGAAACATGAGCGGTTAAAACAGGAACTCATCATAACAGTGTCCGGCATGGCCAGGTGGATAAGGCGCTCGACTCACAATCTGAGGGTCGCGGGTTCGAATCCGCATCCCACCAAACATGCTCGCCCATTCAGCCGTGGGGGCGTTATAATGTGACGGTCAATCCCACTATTCGTTGGTAAAAGAGTAGCCCAAGAGTTGGCGGTGGGTGGTGATGAATAGCTGCCTTCCCTCTAGTCTTACACTGCTAAATTAGGGACGGCTAGCGCAGATAGCCGTCGTGTAGCTTTGCGCGAAATTCCAAAACAAACAAACAAACAATCATCATAACAATGAGACTTACTACAATAAATTCAGCTTTGAACTGAAAACTGCAAGTTATTTGTGTTGGTAGAAAACAACAACAATAACAAGTTTTTTATATCCCCCAACAATGTATTAGGTCGTCAAGAAATTAATGTCGCTTTTTTTATGAAAAAAATCCGAACAACTTGTATATCAAAACATTTATTAAATGAAATAGTCTCCATTCTTATCGGCGATGCTTTTCCATCTTACAGTCAGATTGTTAATGGCCTTGATTAAAGAAATCACTTGGCTTTGAAGCTAAAATCATGTCGATGTCCTCTTTAACACATTCCACATTTTCATACGTTTTTTTGAAGCTAAAATCATGTCGATGTCCTCTTTAACACATTCCACATTTTCATACGTTTTTCCATCAAGATTGTATTCCAGCGAATGAAAAAAAGATAGTAATCTGATGGTGCCATATCTGGAGAATATATTGGGTGGGGGAGAACTTCTCAACCAAACACCATAATCTTGTGTTGCGTCAAACGTGCCACACGTGGACGTGCATTGTCGTGGAGAAGAAGAACACCTTTCCGATTGACGATTGAAGGGAGTTTCTGATAAAGGGCTTGATTTAAACGTTCCAGTTACCGACTATAGATATCTGCATTGACAGTTCGAAATGAATTACTCCCTTGATGTCTCACCAAATGCAAAGCATCACTTTCTGCGGATTGAGTCCAGGTTTTGGGGTCGTAAGTGGTTTTGTCTAGGACTGAGCCATTGTCTTGGTGTTTAATATTCGCATAGAAAATCCATTTTTCATCACCGGTGACAATTCTGTCTAAAAATGTTTCACGCGCCAGAAGAGACGAAGCAACGTTCAAACGTTGGAAACAATGATCATAGGAGAGTTCGTGAGGCATCCAAGCACCTTCTTTATGGAGTTTCTCATATTCCTTACATGTTTACGTATTGTTTCATGAGAGATATGCAATTTCAGGCCATTTCACGAGTGTGTTGCCTTGGGTTAGACTCAACAAGAGTCTTCAGAGCATCAATCTCAATTCCAACATGTCGGCCCCCACCATCACAGTTTTTAAGACTAAAGTCACCTGAATGAAATTTGCTGAGCTTTTGTTGACACTTATGAACGCTCAAAACACTTACATAAACTTCTTTCATATTCTTTGTGGCTACAGAGACGTTGTTTCCCTTCTTGTATTCAAACAGCATTATATACCTAATGTGTGTTTCGTCATGTGCCATCACTATATGGGATTAGAGTATACTAAACTTTACACATTAAATAGCTTACACTAACGTGATGTCTCGACGGTTCGTTTAACTATTATACGTGATGTACGTTTTCTGGGAGGTGGTTAATGAAAGTGTTCCAAAACGCGACATTAATCTTTTGACGACCTAATATTTCACTATCGTTTACACACGTCTGTGATTGGGAAATACAATGTGTATTGTTGTAAAATTGCAATATATATGCTAATTTACAACAAATCATCACAAACCCTTGTGTTATCATTAGGTGAACGTAATAAGAACACGAAATGGAAACCGTTATTTATCGAATCCTTTCTATAATAACTTTGTAAAGTGTGTGTCTACACATCGCAATTTTATTATAATTTTATTAACACAGTAGACAAATCCTGATATTACGGTGTGTGACGTAGAACTACATTCCTTATTTCGGACATGAACGTTTTATTCGTTATTTAATAATAATCCCTTCGAGTTTATTATGCAAACTTATTCTACCTATGAAAATTGCCAGTACTTTAATTTTTTTTTTTCGCATTTGGGACTTCTACCTTACAGAAAGGCAAGATACTTTGTAGACTGAAGACGTGTTCCATGCAGTCATGCCAGAACCCTAACTACCGATCAGATGATTGTTGTCCTGTATGTGCAGGTATTGTAGCTTGTTTTCTGTTTCTCCATTTTGTAAATTACTTAATTTTTCCGACCTACGAAAGGAAATAATGGGATATGTTTTTACTTCTTAACACGTGTATATATTCATTTCAGAACTATGTAATTATTTCAAAGTTAAATTTTTGTTAAGCGTAAAGCTGCACAATGTATATCTATGCTGTGGCTATGGTAGGGATCGAACCCCGGATTAAACGTATACAAGCCCTTGAGCTTACCATTGAGCCATCAAAACTGTTTCGAAAGTTCTTTTTGTTTGTTTGTTTGAGAGTCAAGCTACATAATGGACTATCTACGCCCTACCCACCACTGGGAATCGAACCAGGATTTTAGCGTTGTAGCTCGTACACGTATCGCTGACCCACTGGGGAGAGATATTTCTAAACCTTTTAGAAACGTAATGAACATTTTGTTTTTTATTAGGACTTTACCTTTAATTTTACTCAAACGAACAAACGTTATTTCTTTTAGGACTGTGTAGTTGTTATTCAAATCAAACGCCCCTCGGTGGTTCAGTGGTAAATCTAAGGGCTTATAACCTAACTGTCGTTTTCGATACCCGTAGTGCTTAACAATGACCAAACAAAGCGAACAAACGAATCCACCAAACACTAAGTGTAAGAGTGTTTCTTTTCTTCTTTTGAATAAACATTAATATTCTATTCCTGTCAGTTGAAAGGTTTCATTCCATCGCGACTGCATTTTTCTTCTAAACACTTGCATGCTGTTTTCATGTAACTGTGTGCCTCATTTTTGAAACTTTTGTGTCTGTCAGTATTATATAGATATTTCCAAGCGCATATTAATATTTTGCCCAAGATTACTGTGTTGTTATGCTATATCCTATTGGATATTTAAACGCATGACAGTTGTCCCTCTGCTGATATCTAGTTTAACAGACATATAATATTCTCTATAATGAGCGGAATAAGAGGGGGTGTTACCGCCTTCTCTAAATAGATGTAGATATTATTTCGAAGATGATGATAGTTAGAAAAATTGCAATCCCAGACACTTGCATAACACTGTTCAGAAACATGCTATATTGCCATCTTTCTCTCGTATTTATTTATAAGGAGTAAGTCTGTGAAGAAATGCCAAGTTTATGATAACTTGATAAGCGAGACATAAAAAAGATATATTGGAGCGGGTTAAAAAGATATTCTTATACTTAAGATATCCTCAACTTTCACTAAACATTGTTGAATATTGTTTAATTCAACCGTTTATAGAAGTTATACATCAACCTGTAAAACTTTCCGTTGTTAAAAACAATGTCCTAAACTAGTTGTGAATGGGTTCGGGAATTTTCTATCTTTACTTGTTTGTTTGGACTTAACAACAAAAATAAACAATGGGTTATCTGTGCTGTGCCCACCATGGGTATCGAAACTAGGTTTTTAGGGTACAAGCCTTCAGCCTTACCGCTGAGCCACTGGGAGAGGAGGGGGAGGCTTGTTAGTCATCAAACCAAGTTCAGGTGGGTCAATACCGTAGTTATTAGTATTATGCAGATATCTCAAATTTGTTTCACAGTTGGAGGTTTCTTTAACAGAATATTATTAATACATTATATTAGTGTTGATGTTGTAATCATTCAGGAGTGCAGAGGAATATCTGTCCACTCATTTTTAAACATCATCTTGTGCAGTGAAATATAATCATTTAATTGAAGGTAATATCTATGAGCTTTCAAACGGACTTTATAGGGCATTATTATGAAATTATATTTTTTACTTTCGTATTTTCAATAGGTGGTGTTAAGAATTTCGTTTTTTTTCTTCCTGTTCTAGAAACTCCCTTTAAGTATACATCTTAGGCGCGGCATAGTGGCTCGAGTTTGTTTATTTTATTTTCAAATTCAAACTTTTAGCTCATGGCTCCACCTCTTGAATGATTTGAAATCTAATTACCGTTTTGGATTCAAGAGGTTAAACCTCTTTCGATTGAAGTATTTGACCACGCCCATAATTTTATAGATTAATTTACTTTAATCCTGCCTAAAAGAATTTTAATTTGAGGGTAGACTGGTAGAGATCTTGATGAGCAATAAAATCGAATCGGGTATACGCGTGCAGCACGCTTGGTATTGCTGGCGCACACAAATATAGCTAATAAATAGGAGAAAAAGTTTCATAGATTAATTTACTCCAAACCTGCCTAAAAGAATTTTAATTTGAGGGTAGGCTGGTAGAGATCTTGATGAGCAATAAAATCGAATCGGGTATACGCGTGCAGCACGCTTGGTATTGC